GCTGGACTTGATGACCTTCTGAGGTCTCTTCCAGCTCTGTGGTTCTATGATACTGACGGAACATTTTGCAGCAATCCAAGACCTTATGCATACTGTGACGCATGCTCCAACAATTCCAACACGTGTCTGTTTACAGCTGATGGGCCACATGGCTGCCTCCACCATCGTGGTGCAGAATGCAAGGTTATGTTTTCGTTGTCTCCAGCATTGGTTGGGCATGATTTACATTCCAGCAAAGCACAGCGTTCAAGACCAGTACTGGTACCACAGCATGTACGGGAATCCCTTCAGTGGTGGGCCAACCCGAGCAATCTTCTCAAGGGCATCCCATTTCATTGCCCACAACCTACAAGACAAATAACCACAGATGCTTCCCTTATAGGCTGGGGAGCTCACATGAACAACCTGATGGTTCAAGGTCGTTGGTCAACACAGGAAATGATGTTGCATATCAATGTGTTCGAGCTACAGGCAGTATGACATACTTTCAAGCATTTCCGGTCCCACATACGGAATACCAGAATCCTGACGGACAACATGGCAACCATGTTTTATATCAGCAAGCAGGGAGGTGCCCGATCTCGTTCTCTGTGTGGAGTGCGTCCGATTATGGAATTGGCATATCCACACCATTTTAGCAGTATCTTACCTACCGGGTGTCAACAACTCGATAGTGGACTCACTCAGCAGGTGTTTTCCTCATAACCATGAGTAGGAAATTCGCATGGATGTTTTGACTCGTACATTTGCTCGATGGGAGTTTCCGACAATAGACTTGTTTGCCACAGACAGCAACTCAAAATGTCCTGCCTATTGTTCAAGGGGCGGAATAGGGCATCATTCACTGCGGGACGCCTTCCTTCTCCACTGTGGAAGGTCGCTATCATATGCCTTTCCCCCAGTGGTTCTAATACCAAGGTTCTCAAGAAAATCAGCATAGAGGGGGCTCGAGTGATTCTTATAGCCCCGGCATGGGCTTGTCAACCTTGGTTCTCAATGCTCCATCAGATGTTGATAAGAGCACTGTATCCCCACCTCTCATCCCAAGTCTCTTGACCCAGAACAACGGATCCCTGAGTCATCCAAGACCCAAAATTCTACACCTCACGATATGGATGATCGTTGGTTTAGTGATGCTGAACAACTCTGTTCCCAGCAGGTCAAACAGGTGTTAATACGTAGTAGGAAAGAATCTACACGAACCACATATACAGCTAAGTGGTCCAGATTCCAGGCATGGTGTGCGGGCAACAATCTAGATCCTCGCTCCACACCCTTACCTCGTATATTGGAGCTCCATGACAGCCGGCTGGCAGTAGCTTCCCTACGAGTGCACTTGGCAGCGATTAATGCCTTTCACCATACCGACGAGTGCTTCTCCCTATTCGCTCATCCCACTACAAAAAGGTTCCTGAAGGGGCTCACAAACCTTAATCCATCTCGGAGACCCCCTCCCCCACCTTCATGGAACCTGGATCTAGTATTGGAAACTTTGACTCATCCTCCCTTTGAGCCTCTGGCTACGGTTCCGCTAGACATACTTACCATCAAACTTTTATTTCTCTTGGCCCTCACCTCAGCTCGTAGAGTCAGTGAGATGGCAGCTTTTATGGCTTCGCCTCCTTAGACAGTTTTTTCTAAAGATTCAGTGTCATTGAGGTGTCACCCAGCATTTATTCCGAAGGTCTCCTCTGAATTTCACATTAATGAACCAGTGGTTCTACCATTTTTTTTTCCTAAACCCCATACCTCAATGCAAGAAGCGACACTACATGCGCTGGACGTAAGGAGAACCATGGCATTTTACATTGACAGAACTCGGGGTTTTAGGAGAACGGATCATTTAATAGTATCGTTGGCAGACCGTTCAAAAGGGCCACTGACCTCTCAGCGCATCTTGAGACTGATAGCTTCATGCGTATCTGTCACTCTATACGAGGAAAACCTTTACCGTGTCCTCCAAAGGCTCATTCCACCAGAGCGGTTTCTACTACTACAGCCTTTTTAAGGGGAGTTCCGTTTCGTGACATTGCAGGGCAATGACATGGTCTTCTAATGTCACCTTTATGAAGCATTATGCTATAGTTGAGCATTTTGCTTTGGACTCCTCAGTGGCTACGGCAGTACTTAATCGTGATAGTAAATTTTGATTCCGGAGCGCTCCGAATTTTTGGGTACTGCTCCAGAGTCACCTAGAGTGGAGCACCCATGGGGCCACTCAAAGAAGAAAAAAGTTACTCGCCCTGTGAAGTAATGATTGTTCTTCGAGATGTGCCCCATGGGTGCTCCACTCTACGTGTTGGGTCCCGTCCCGGCACCACAGCTCGGAGAATTCTCATACCCGTGATCTGCCGGCCCGCGCATGTGCGGCTTTCCAAAGCACCGTTCGGAAAGCCGCACATGCGCGGGCCGGCAGATCACGGGTATGAGAATTCTCCGAGCTGTGGTGCCGGGACGGGACCCAACACGTAGAGTGGAGCACCCATGGGGCACATCTCGAAGAACAATCATTACTTCACAGGGTAAGTAACTTGTTTTTCTTCCAACCTGGTCCAACTTACTCCTCCACCATTCAATATAATGACACTACAGCTGTCAAGCAATTAAAAAACTGTGATTAATCACACAATATACAGCACAGAAGTGTAACGATCACTTTATATTTATTTTTATTACAATTTTTTGCACTATAGAAACAATAAAGTATTTTTCAGTTTGTCTAATACAACTACTGTTTTACTATTGCTATCATGAAAGTTAAAGCATGTACAAAAATAACTGCACTAAAAAATAAAACAATGTAAAATTTTAGAATCTACAACTCACTCAGTCCTATTTCTTGGTTAGCCAATTGCTCAGACAACCATGTTGTTTTGCAGGAGAGAAAGCTGTCTGCTCTTGTTTACAACGTCACCTGAAAATGAGAACAGGTGATTGCAATATATTCACATACCAGATATGCTAAAGATTCATATGTCCCTTCAAGCTTCAACCACTATTCCAGAGGACATGCTTCTATGCTGATGATGGATTCTGCTCAATAAAATGTCAAAGCAGCACCAATTGATGCTTTTTAATTTTTATTATCTGAGTCAGATGCCACTAGCAGATGGCTGATTTTCTTTTTTGGTGGTTTGGGTTCTATAGTTTCTGCATGGGAGTGCAGCTCCGATGGAAGTGGAAGTATGCTTTGCACTTCATCCTTATCAGATTTTGCAAGGCACTTCAGATTCTTAAACCAAAGTGCTGTAGATAGTTAGCTTTAGAAATCTCACACCTGTATCTTCTTTCACTTTTGTCAAATTTGCAGCAAAAGTATTTTTAAACCAAAAATCTTGCTGCTATAACATGAAATATATGGCAGACTGTAGATAAAACAGCAGGAAACATACAATTCTCTACCAAGGAGGTCAGTCACAAATTTAACTGACTTTTTTGGAATAAAAATCATCAGCATTGAAGCATGTCTTCTGGAATTGTGGCTGAAGCATGAAGGGGCATGTCTAGAATATCTTGCATGTGAATACCTCACAAGGATGACTACAAAAATGCCCTTTCAGGAGACATTCTAAATAAGAAACGGGCAGCATTATCTCCCATAAATTTAAGCAAACTTGGATGTCTTAGCAATTTCCTGAACAAGAAGTAGGACTTGTAAGCTCTACAGTATGACTTTGTTTTATTTGAGTGCAGTTATGTAATAAATCTATATTTGTAAGTTATTCTTTCATGATAAAGAAATTGCACTACAGTACTTATGTGAGCTGAATTGAAAAATACTATTTCTCTGGTAATATTTGTAATAAAAATATAAAGTGAGCACTATATACTCTGTATTCTGTATTGCAATTGAAATCAATGTATTTGAAAATGTATTAAATATTTTGGATTTTTTTCTACATTTCAAGTGGTATTCTAGTGTTTACCTGTGCAATTAAAACTGCAATAATTTTAATTGTGAATAATTTGAGTTAATTGTGAGAGTTAACTGCAATCAACTGACAGCCCTAAACTACACCTAACACAGCTGGAGTTCACAATGGCTATTGCTAATTCCAGGGGAGAAAAGGTAAGGTTGTGTGGGTGTTTAGCTTAACCCTGAATATCCCAGGTTTTAGAAGTTTGAGTTTTGCTGAACTTTACATTCTGGAAGGGCACAAGCTATCGCCCAGCAACCTTAACTCTGTGTTAAAGTTTTTTGCCTTTTAATTAAACAGGAACTGATATATATGGTCTCTGATATTTTTTCCTCTACATTGACTAAGAAGTCCAGTTTTTAATATATGAGTCTTTTAAAGCCCCTATTCTGCACATACCAATTATTAAGCATACTGATTGCTATAGCCCAAATTCTGCTACCTTAATACAGAGTGAGTAGAACCTTATGTTGTGAACTGTCCCATTAATTTTGTGATACACGCTACCACTCATCACACATAAGGGCCACAGAATTAAGATATGCTATATTCAGGGTCAGAGTTATAAACTGAAAAGCTCTGAGCACAATCTTAGACCTTCTGAAGTCACTGAGAATTTTCCCATTGGCTTCAAGGAGCCAGGGCTTCACCCTAATGTCTTGTATTGTCATCAAACGTGGTCAGTTCTTACCAAATATTTCATAAAATCTCAGTGTACTAGAAAATAAACCTTTTTTTAAAAATTATCCCACAATTTAGTCAATGTAAATGTTTAATATTAAAAAGTTGGGGCTAATCATTTCATTGATTTGTGACAGACTTGAATATCTTTGAACAAATAATTGCCCACTTCATTTGAAGTCATCTCCTACAGCATCTGTGAATCACTTAACAACTGTCCTACCTTGTACTTAGAGGTTACCTTCCTGGACCCTAGAAAAGCTTTGTGAAACTCAAAACCTTGTCCCTACCACCAAAAGAAGTTGGTCCAATAAAAGATATCACCTCACTTAACTTGTTTCTCTGAACAAATAAGTAATCTATTTAAAACATGCATTTCACAGTTAACTTGAGGCAGCCAGATCAGCAGTATCATTTAATGAAAACTGTCACAAAACAAATTAATATATTTCTGTGCACCAATATTGGGAACCAACTCATCTGAAGAGTGTTCAGAATCTAGAGGAAGATTCTCAAAAAGATAATGTTGTGCAGAATTGTAAAGTAATTTAACTGCTAAAATCTCACATGACTATCTCAGTTTCACTTTTATTGCACATGGAGAAAAATCTTTCACTTACTGGGACAATCCAAATTATTTGACTATTTTCCCACTTTACTAACGAGTGGCTCATTTTCCACAGATATTCATAGATTTACTACACTTACTGTAGATACAACCAGGGGGATATATGCAAATGTAGTATTGACCAGAATACAAGACTTGTCTTGACAACCTATGATTATATTGGCCTGTTTCTTAACTCAGGAAAAATAAACATATGCTGTTTCACACAGGAAGTCTTGCATATGCTAGGCAATGAGGGTTATAAACATATTCAACTTAGAATATGCCTCATGACATTTAAAGTACAGGGGCTTTTAGCCAAAACATGTCATGTGCCACCATCATCTTACTCTTCAGATTCTTGAACTTTTTGTACAGCAATGTCAGCTAAGTTAGTCTCGCTTTCAGAGTGATTGTCAAGATGAAGCTGGGGGGCTGATGGCTGTTTGTTAAGCACACTTTCCTCTGTTCTTTTAACTGCATGATGAGAGTCCACTTCTTCGGTAGCTTCTGGAGGATGGTCTGACTGTTCCTCATTTGTGGGACTAAGACTGGCTGCTTGTGCTTCATCTAAAAAGAATAATAATAATAATAATAAAAGACATATACATCTCACAAATCCCATAATCAACAAACCCCCAGAACACACACAAGAACATATATTGTTATTCTTAAGGCTGACTTTGGCAGGTACTTTCTCTCTGTTTCCCTGAAAAGTTTATTCACCTTTGTTACTGCTATCAACAAGTTTCCTAATATTCATTCTTCTAAAAGTAATAATGTAGCTCTGCTTCCTTAAGTGACTTCAAACACTGAAATTCTGTCTAGCAAGATTTTAAGTTATGTTGGAAACTACCCTGGATACCTCACTCAGACAAAACTTCCCATGATGCTTTCTCTTCAATAATCAATTTTGTCTCCATGATGACTGCTGGAACTGGTGCATGCTATTATGATACTGGGTGAATAGGTTAGCTTAGTGCCCTACTCTAATCAAACTTTCATTTCAAACTTATTTTAGTCTAAGGCACTGGTATTTCAAGGAATGAGAAACCAAAGCATGACTTACTGACTAAGAAAAAATAACTGTAACCTAACAAAGAACTTAGGAAGTTTTGTGAGAAAAGTGGCAAATACAGGTTTGCATAAGAGGTTATAAGATATAACAGAGAATATCTGTCTAGTAAGAATCAAGCTAAATGCCAAAAAAAGATTGGCTGGCGTAAGCTGACTTTTATTGTTTGACCAGGCTTAAAGTAGCTCAATGTTACTCTTGACATTCCAAAAAGTGTTTTGGGGAAAATCATATTTGGTTTGTCTAAATTAAGTAGTCTGGGCATTAGAGACCATGATTTAAAAAGAAAATTGGAAGTCTACTTAGTGATTAAAGCCCATTTTGGCTTTTTAAGTTTTTCATGAGATGGTCACCAGGACAAGTTGTTTACAGCTCCCTCATATGCTAAGAACTGCTATGCATTTGTATTTTAACAGCCTAAGTCCTATACATAAACATGCATGACATAGTTCCTGTATTTTGTAACTGCTTACAATAAAGTTAAAACATAAATTAGTGATAATAAAATGGGAGAGAGGCACTAAGAGACAGGAAGTGAGACAATGAGCATGTATGCTACTTCATTAGAGATTTTCCTTTTTATCACATATAGAAAAAATGTCAGACATCTTTACTTTGTTGCAGGAGCTTCAGTTTGTTCTTTTGCTAGTGGTTACAAGGAAAAAAAAAACGCCAACCAACCAACCAAAATAACTACTCCCACACAAACTCACATAAGAGTTCCTTGTTCCTCTCTCCATCCCCACAATATAGCAAAGAGTTAACTTCTGAGTTAACCTTTTGGATGGTGGGTTAGGGCGTGGGGTGACTGTTTTGTTTTTATTACCCAACTTGTCATTTGGTCCTCCAGTTATACAGTGAAGTAAAGTGAGAATTTTGGGGTTTTTTGATCAGAGCTTTAGGATTTTGAATCAGTAAAGTTATAACTCCTGATGCCCTATTCTATTCAAGAGTCATGTGTATTTCTATTACTATATACACATTTATGAATTCACAAATAAGAAGTCAAGCATTCCAACAATTACTGGCACTTTTCCTGCCAAGAGAGTCTATTAAACCTCAGTGCATGCAGTAACCATTTACTTTTGCTTCTTGTAGCAGAATTTATTAATGCAGGATTAATTTTTGTTAGCAAAATGTGGATCTGACCTCTCTCTCGCTTTTTTTCTTGCCTCCGTTTTTCTTTGGCAGCCTCTAGCTCTTGCTTCTCATGGACATCCTTCAGTATCTTACAAACTTTTTTATGGGTAAACCAGTGTATTTTCTGGCAGTTCTGATCACAATAAATAACCTGAAAGTTTCCACAGCCATTACTTCACCTTCATATAACAAGACAATACAACAATTTAATTGTATGTGGAGATAAAACTACATATTTAATTAGGATATTGGAAATTACAATTTTAAAGTTAATAAAGTCACTCAGAATAGGTGTTCTATACATTATTGCACAGGAAAACCATTGTTCTAGTGTAATTAATTTAGGAAATCCACAACATATGGTAACTCCACACAGCCTTATTTAGGGCTTTAAATATTCTTACTATTTAGAGTCAAGATACCTGTACCACAAGCAGGTGCTTTGTACCCAATGAGTCTGAGCATATAGGAGCATTTTTCAAAGAGCTATATTTACCAGCAAGTACCTTCCTTTTTCAGACTGGCAGTAATACATTCACAGATTACAAGTCCAGAAAGGACCACTCATTATGATCACCTTCTATACAGCACAGTTCATAGAACTTCCAAAATAATTTCAAGGCATATCTTTTAGAAAAACAGCCAATCAATTAACAAAATTTTCAGTGATCAAGAATCAACCCTAATCCTTAGTAACTTGTTCCAATGCTTACTTAGTCTCACAATTTAAAATTGTGCATATTTCCAGTTTGAATTTGTCTATCTTCAAGTTCTAGTGGCATTACATTTTTAAAATTCCAACTACAGTCTCTTACCATTTTACATACAGAACATCTTTTGTCTGCTCCCTTTTCCCCACAGGTTGTACAGAATTCAGCATCCACAAAGCCCACTTGGCCAGTAATGGCTTGTGTAAGTACAGAGAAAGCAGTAGGATCAGAGCCCTGAGAGAAGGAAAAAGAATTAAGCAATAAGGAGGAAAAACATGATTTAGAAATATGAAATGCATATTTAGCAGGAAGTTTTGGCAATTTATAACTTAAGAGCATAGTGCCTGGTATGTCTATGCATTTTCAAGAGAACCCAATGGTAATGCAGATCCCTCCACTAACTATCATTCATTTCACTCAGGCAAACAGCTGTAGCTTAGGTTTGTCTAGTTTGCACTTTCTAAAGAAGGGAAATAGTAATTGTTTTATTCTAACTTAAAAGGTTAAATCCAGTTTTAGTATAAGCAGTTTAGAATTAATATTTAAATCCGTATTTTCATGATGCCATCACGTTAAAAGAGGGCTGGGCAAAATATGGCCAGGAGGCCAGATCTGGCCTGCCAAGCCACTGGATCCAGCCTGTGGACCACTCTGCCAGGACAATAAGGCACACAGCTGTCCCCATTTAAAGCACAGTCCATGGTTTCTTTGCTCTGCAAGGAGGGGGAGGCTTCGTGTGATCTCACCACTGACAGTCCAATCCTCAGCTCAAGTGACCCCCAGCCAATCTCTTAGCTCCTAATGGCTGGAAACAACCAGTTAATGGGAGCTGAGAGATTGACCTGGGGGATGGAGGCAGTGCAAGCCTCTTCCCCCTCCTGGAGCTGAGAGTCACATGGAGGGAACAGCCTGCAGCTTAAAGTGATTTGTTGCTGCAGCACAGGGGGCCCAGCCTGTCCAGTGGATACTGCAGGGCTGCTGGTCAGGAGATGCTTAGGTAAGCGGCTCCTAGCCAGAGCCTGCCTCTGGCACCTCAACTCCCTCCCCCCAGGTCACCACTGAAACCATCTGCAACCCCCTGCCCCACGTCACAACTCCCTCCCAGACACTGTACCCCCTTCTTCACTCCTCCCCCAGGCCAGAATCCTCTCCTGCACCCAAACACCCTTCCAGACTCTGCACCCCATTCCCCCGTCCCAGGTCACAATTCCCTCCCAGACTTTGCACCTCCCCTTAGAGCCCCTCCCTGATCCTACACCCCAATCCCAGGTCACAACCTTCTCTTTCACCAAAACACCCTCTCAGAACTAACACCATCTCCTACACCCTAGTCCCTTACTCCATGCACCCTTCTACACTCAACCTCCATTCTAGACCCCACACTCCCTCCACAGAAAAGTGCAGCCCTTGATCACTCTCGTAATTCTTGGTGTGGCCCCCCACCAAAAAATATTGCCTACCCCTGCTTTAAGAACTAGTCTATGTGCAAAATCTTTCCTCACTATTTGATTTGCAAAAAGACACTGCTGGCCAGGATTTCAGAGCTTTTATATTAGCTTTCAAAATACTGTAGCAGATCCAATAAGTTTGATATGAAGGGCCAAATCCTACCCTTAGCTAAACAGACACAAAATCTGATGACTTCAAGCAGAACTGTGTCCACTTAGTCTTGGGCATAATTGGCCTTAAAGTAGTGGCAGGCAACCTGTGGTCCACTGGGGTTCCACCTGCAGCCTGCGGATCCCCAGGCTGCATTAGTCCCCATATACCTCTTGGGCACCAGTACACCGGAGCCCAGCATTTTCTGCTCATCATTTCTTCTCTCCCAGAGCTTTGAGAGGAGCTTTGTATTTCCTGACTTGCTCGCCATCTCCGCTCCTTCCCCTCCCTCCCAGAGCTGGAATGCTTTGAATCAGCTGTATGCAGCTTTCCAGCTCCGGGAAGCAGAGGGAGGAGCAGTGATGAAGCACAAAACAGGCAATTCGCATGCTCCGAAAGTGCTAGGAGGGAGAGGGAGGAGCAGGTAAATGTGGGGCTGTGGGGCTCTAGCATGCATGAGAGGTGCGTGAGGGAGGTGGGACAAACAGGGAGGTCATAGGGTTCGTGAGAAACCTCAGTGGGTTGTGGGCTTCTGTGTCAAAGAGAGCCACTCATGTGGCCCATCCACCATTCCTGATTGCCCATCCTTGCCCTAAATGGTAACATTACATAAACACAGTAGCATCTGTGCTTCTGATAAATCATATTTATAGCTGAAAAGCTGTATCGATCAGTACCACTTTAGCATTAAGTGTGGCTTTAGGCAGAGCACATGGGACTTCTTAATGTCACACTGAATATTCTCTTATTGTAATCCATGCATTTACTAGTGTCCTCTGCAAGAGGACAAACAAAATGCTTTTTCTCGTGGATTTTTTTAGACACTTGTAATCTATTGCTTATTGTATCCTGGAAGAAATGAAGAAGAGGTCTTTTCCTATTTGTAAACCATGGCTGTTGTCCTTTTAGCTAATGGTGCCGAAATTAACCTGTAAATGTTTGTTGTATCCATTCCCATTTGTGGCATGCGGTGAAGCAATTCTCCAGTATGTCTGCATAATAGGGCACCACTTAATTTTATTGTCGCAGATATGACCATGTGTCTTGATATCAGAGGACATTTGCAATCTTCCATTGGTTTTGTTGTTTTGTCATAATTAGAACATTATTTTAATTTGGTACAGAAGAAGTCCCTAGAATCCCAATTTTTAAAAAATGTCTCAGGGGACATTCAAAACATTTGCATCATAGAGGAAATAAGCCAAAGGACACAAAGACTTGTTAAATTTCAATTGAATATCAAGGTTTTACTATTGGGCTAAGTTAATATGTTTCTAAAATAGCACTTCTTTAATTAATTGGATACACTTACAATTTCAACAGGCGCAATACTCCTCACCAGCTGCTGGAGCAGGGTAGCTTCACAGTAAGGAAACTTTCGAATGCATTCCCTGATGAACTTCTCTTGATACACAGGAAAACCATCTGTATCTCTGCCTTTCAATAGACTGACATTTTTGAAGGAAAAGTTAAATGAAGATCCCCAAGCAACTAATGATTAGTGTTTACTGACAAGCATGCTTCAGGCTGTTAATTATTCTGCTGTTCCCCTGGCTTCCTTCCTCATAGTGCAACTTTCCTCCTATTGCAAGATTCAGATTCGAAGTAATTTCCATAGTGTCAAAATCACAGTTAAGTTAAAAATGAACACGAAGATTTTTGTACATAATTTTAGAAGTATAAAATATTTATTACAGCTAAGTTTTGGAAATCTAGACACACTATATTTCAATGAACTAGCTCAATATCAGTATTGCCAGACATACACCTTATTAGAGAGATTATACTATGTTTAAATACACAAGGCTTGGAGGTACAGTTCTTGTTTAAAATTCTATTAGTCATACCATATTACTGTCCTGACTTCACTATAGCTATCTTATCTTTTCTTTTCCCTTATTTAGCCTCTTATTTCTTGAATCACTGCTGTATTAACTGATTTTAATATTTTAGAAACAGGCTTGTTTTCTTCATTTATAAACCAGTTTTCAGAATCACCTATGCATCCACTGAAGGCAGGGGGAACTCTACAGCCTCAACGATAGGCAACTAATCAAAATAGCTTGTTGGCATTAGGTACTTTTGAAAATCCCACATGATGTTTACAAACCAAACTGACTTAGAAGCAAAAATTCCATTGGCTTTAAATGGGATTTCTGCTTTATGCTGCTAGTCTGGGCTAGGGAGCAGAATGGAGAAAGCAACGTGCTCAGAGGTGACCCCTTCTACAGATTTGATAGTGTAGTTCTCATCACTCTTACACACACATGCATGCACCACCTACCTTTCTCATGCTCTAGCGCATTCAGGACCATGGCCAGACCAGTTTAACACACCCACCCAGGTGCTGAATGAGGTGTTCAGTGCTGATGAATGTACCCAACTTTGCACTGCATGAGAACTGGGTGCTTTTTGTACACCTGTGGAGGGACCAGGGCTCCCCTGCACAATGCTGAGCTGGAGTCTTTCAAACAATGCCATTTAATATTGGCAGTTTTTTAAAATCACAAAAGCCAAAGTAAGCAATAGTATATCTCCACCTCATCTCAATAGATGCATTATTTTTATAAGCATAAAGTTAGCTCGTGTATAGACACTCAGATTACTCTTACATTCTGTATATATGCATACCTTTTGATTAATCCATCCAGTTTATCCTCTCGTTCTTTGAGAAAATTAATACATTTCTGGAAGATGCAACTAATATAGTGCATTTTAATAGCCAATACTTCATTCATCTCTCTCTGTTTCATGCACTTCTCACAAATCAGATCCAACACCCTGCAGCATTTCAGCAGTGCTTCTACTTCTGCCAACAGGGGGTTCTCTTTGACCAGCAGCACAATCTATGGGGATCAGGAAAAAGAGTTTAATGTAACGAGAAACTCTTTTCCTTTAAGCATGTTAGTTACAAATATATAGGTGAGATGACTTAAAATAGTTAACTTTAATAGGACTTCTGATGTTCTTCCATTTTCAATCTATTTTCTCTTCCCATGTGCTCTCTTTCTTTGCTAACAGAGCATCTTATTACTGAGTAATAAATATACTGTAATTCATAGTTACTATCCAAGACTTTTCAACTAAGGGCAAGCTGCTCCTCCCGAAGCAGCTCAATGATTACTCTGGCCCAACATCCCCTCTCTGAGGTGCACAGATGAGGCGATGGAATTGCAGGATATAGGTTTACCACTATAGAATTAACAAAGTAAGAGGGCAATAAGTAAGAGTGTTATAATATACTGAACTAAATCTGTGTAACCAGAGATGTGAACGCAGTTAATGATTTACGTTTACCATACTCATGATGCCTTGCATGAGCATCAAACAAGTCATAATGCTGCAAAAATATCATTTAGCTCGATGTCTCAAATTTAATATTCTTAATTATGGGTCATATTCTGCCTCCCCTTCGGATTTCAAAAAATCACTTTATTTTGCAAGTAATCCCCTAGATTTCAAAAAGATAATTATCAACCTAAGAGTTACAGGATGTGGTCCTATACCAATAAATGAGACGTACACCCTACTTCACCTTAACAGGATGCAAATTTGTAGTAGTAATAATCTTGTGAAGAGGCCCAGCTAACTTTGCTGGCAGTTTTGGTTCTTTATCTAGTCCCTGTGGTTTAGTGTAGTAGTCTAGCCTTTCCCGTGGAAAGAAGTTGTTGATAATAGTCACACAATCATGTTGACCTAAAGAAAAAAAAACATGAAGAGTGAAAATTTAATTTAGTTACACTCCCACCCAATCCCCACAGGAGCTGGTCCAACATAATTTTTAAGTTCTGACAGTAAACAAGTACATGCAAGATGCCATCCTGTAGGAGTGGAGAGAAGGAGCCCTCTAATTTCTTCTCCCCAGGTTCCTTTAAAAATATATTTATGACTAAACCACGAGGAGAGTCAGTATTCCTCTCAATAATTCCCACATATTTTCTTATACAAAAACATACAGGGGTCTTCCATACTGGTGTCAGCAGGTTTTTCAAGAGGAGATCCCTGGCAATTGCACCTCTTGCTGTTCATTTTAAGAGAGTAATCTATTCATAAAAGTAGGTCAGAGCATTGTCTATAAGATGCACAGGATGTAAGCAGGGAAGGAGGGATCTTTCCCCAGGCCTAACACACATTAATAGAATCACAGAATACTGGAACGGACCTCAAGAGATCAAAGTCCAGTCCTCTGACCTCATGGCAGGACCAAGCATCATCTAGATCAGGGGTTCCCAATTTGGGGTACGTGTACCCCCAGGGGATACAAGAAGCTTGTCAAGGAGGTATGGGGAATATTTGGTAAATAACTAGATTATCCTAATTGAAATATTCCAAAAGTAATAGTGTTAGTGAAAAAAGTTGTGGATTCTAGAGTCTAGAATTTATTTCCTTTCATATTGAATAGGGGGTACGGGAAGGTTTACTAAAAGCCAAGGGGGTACGGGGACCGAAAAAGGTTGGGAACCCCTGGTCTAGATCATCCCTGATAGATATCTATCCAACCTGCTCTTAAATTTATCTCCAGTGATGGAGATCAGGTCACCACTGAAACCATCTGCAACCCCCTGCCCCACGTCACAACTCCCTCCCAGACACTGTACCCCCTTCTTCACTCCTCCCCCAGGCCAGAATCCTCTCCTGCACCCAAACACCCTTCCAGACTCTGCACCCCATTCCCCCGTCCCAGGTCACAATTCCCTCCCAGACTTTGCACCTCCCCTTAGAGCCCCTCCCTGATCCTACACCCCAATCCCAGGTCACAACCTTCTCTTTCACCAAAACACCCTCTCAGAACTAACACCATCTCCTACACCCTAGTCCCTTACTCCATGCACCCTTCTACACTCAACCTCCATTCTAGACCCCACACTCCCTCCACAGAAAAGTGCAGCCCTTGATCACTCTCGTAATTCTTGGTGTGGCCCCCCACCAAAAAATATTGCCTACCCCTGCTTTAAGAACTAGTCTATGTGCAAAATCTTTCCTCACTATTTGATTTGCAAAAAGACACTGCTGGCCAGGATTTCAGAGCTTTTATATTAGCTTTCAAAATACTGTAGCAGATCCAATAAGTTTGATATGAAGGGCCAAATCCTACCCTTAGCTAAACAGACACAAAATCTGATGACTTCAAGCAGAACTGTGTCCACTTAGTCTTGGGCATAATTGGCCTTAAAGTAGTGGCAGGCAACCTGTGGTCCACTGGGGTTCCACCTGCAGCCTGCGGATCCCCAGGCTGCATTAGTCCCCATATACCTCTTGGGCACCAGTACACCGGAGCCCAGCATTTTCTGCTCATCATTTCTTCTCTCCCAGAACTTTGAGAGGAGCTTTGTATTTCCTGACTTGCTCGCCATCTCCGCTCCTTCCCCTCCCTCCCAGAGCTGGAATGCTTTGAATCAGCTGTATGCAGCTTTCCAGCTCCGGGAAGCAGAGGGAGGAGCAGTGATGAAGCACAAAACAGGCAATTCGCATGCTCCGAAAGTGCTAGGAGGGAGAGGGAGGAGCAGGTAAATGTGGGGCTGTGGGGCTCTAGCATGCATGAGAGGTGCGTGAGGGAGGTGGGACAAACAGGGAGGTCATAGGGTTCGTGAGAAACCTCAGTGGGTTGTGGGCTTCTGTGTCAAAGAGAGCCACTCATGTGGCCCATCCACCATTCCTGATTGCCCATCCTTGCCCTAAATGGTAACATTACATAAACACAGTAGCATCTGTGCTTCTGATAAATCATATTTATAGCTGAAAAGCTGTATCGATCAGTACCACTTTAGCATTAAGTGTGGCTTTAGGCAGAGCACATGGGACTTCTTAATGTCACACTGAATATTCTCTTATTGTAATCCATGCATTTACTAGTGTCCTCTGCAAGAGGACAAACAAAATGCTTTTTCTCGTGGATTTTTTTAGACACTTGTAATCTATTGCTTATTGTATCCTGGAAGAAATGAAGAAGAGGTCTTTTCCTATTTGTAAACCATGGCTGTTGTCCTTTTAGCTAATGGTGCCGAAATTAACCTGTAAATGTTTGTTGTATCCATTCCCATTTGTGGCATGCGGTGAAGCAATTCTCCAGTATGTCTGCATAATAGGGCACCACTTAATTTTATTGTCGCAGATATGACCATGTGTCTTGATATCAGAGGACATTTGCAATCTTCCATTGGTTTTGTTGTTTTGTCATAATTAGAACATTATTTTAATTTGGTACAGAAGAAGTCCCTAGAATCCCAATTTTTAAAAAATGTCTCAGGGGACATTCAAAACATTTGCATCATAGAGGAAATAAGCCAAAGGACACAAAGACTTGTTAAATTTCAATTGAATATCAAGGTTTTACTATTGGGCTAAGTTAATATGTTTCTAAAATAGCACTTCTTTAATTAATTGGATACACTTACAATTTCAACAGGCGCAATACTCCTCACCAGCTGCTGGAGCAGGGTAGCTTCACAGTAAGGAAACTTTCGAATGCATTCCCTGATGAACTTCTCTTGATACACAGGAAAACCATCTGTATCTCTGCCTTTCAATAGACTGACATTTTTGAAGGAAAAGTTAAATGAAGATCCCCAAGCAACTAATGATTAGTGTTTACTGACAAGCATGCTTCAGGCTGTTAATTATTCTGCTGTTCCCCTGGCTTCCTTCCTCATAGTGCAACTTTCCTCCTATTGCAAGATTCAGATTCGAAGTAATTTCCATAGTGTCAAAATCACAGTTAAGTTAAAAATGAACACGAAGATTTTTGTACATAATTTTAGAAGTATAAAATATTTATTACAGCTAAGTTTTGGAAATCTAGACACACTATATTTCAATGAACTAGCTCAATATCAGTATTGCCAGACATACACCTTATTAGAGAGATTATACTATGTTTAAATACACAAGGCTTGGAGGTACAGTTCTTGTTTAAAATTCTATTAGTCATACCATATTACTGTCCTGACTTCACTATAGCTATCTTATCTTTTCTTTTCCCTTATTTAGCCTCTTATTTCTTGAATCACTGCTGTATTAACTGATTTTAATATTTTAGAAACAGGCTTGTTTTCTTCATTTATAAACCAGTTTTCAGAATCACCTATGCATCCACTGAAGGCAGGGGGAACTCTACAGCCTCAACGATAGGCAACTAATCAAAATAGCTTGTTGGCATTAGGTACTTTTGAAAATCCCACATGATGTTTACAAACCAAACTGACTTAGAAGCAAAAATTCCATTGGCTTTAAATGGGATTTCTGCTTTATGCTGCTAGTCTGGGCTAGGGAGCAGAATGGAGAAAGCAACGTGCTCAGAGGTGACCCCTTCTACAGATTTGATAGTGTAGTTCTCATCACTCTTACACACACATGCATGCACCACCTACCTTTCTCATGCTCTAGCGCATTCAGGACCATGGCCAGACCAGTTTAACACACCCACCCAGGTGCTGAATGAGGTGTTCAGTGCTGATGAATGTACCCAACTTTGCACTGCATGAGAACTGGGTGCTTTTTGTACACCTGTGGAGGGACCAGGGCTCCCCTGCACAATGCTGAGCTGGAGTCTTTCAAACAATGCCATTTAATATTGGCAGTTTTTTAAAATCACAAAAGCCAAAGTAAGCAATAGTATATCTCCACCTCATCTCAATAGATGCATTATTTTTATAAGCATAAAGTTAGCTCGTGTATAGACACTCAGATTACTCTTACATTCTGTATATATGCATACCTTTTGATTAATCCATCCAGTTTATCCTCTCGTTCTTTGAGAAAATTAATACATTTCTGGAAGATGCAACTAATATAGTGCATTTTAATAGCCAATACTTCATTCATCTCTCTCTGTTTCATGCACTTCTCACAAATCAGATCCAACACCCTGCAGCATTTCAGCAGTGCTTCTACTTCTGCCAACAGGGGGTTCTCTTTGACCAGCAGCACAATCTATGGGGATCAGGAAAAAGAGTTTAATGTAACGAGAAACTCTTTTCCTTTAAGCATGTTAGTTACAAATATATAGGTGAGATGACTTAAAATAGTTAACTTTAATAGGACTTCTGATGTTCTTCCATTTTCAATCTATTTTCTCTTCCCATGTGCTCTCTTTCTTTGCTAACAGAGCATCTTATTACTGAGTAATAAATATACTGTAATTCATAGTTACTATCCAAGACTTTTCAACTAAGGGCAAGCTGCTCCTCCCGAAGCAGCTCAATGATTACTCTGGCCCAACATCCCCTCTCTGAGGTGCACAGATGAGGCGATGGAATTGCAGGATATAGGTTTACCACTATAGAATTAACAAAGTAAGAGGGCAATAAGTAAGAGTGTTATAATATACTGAACTAAATCTGTGTAACCAGAGATGTGAACGCAGTTAATGATTTACGTTTACCATACTCATGATGCCTTGCATGAGCATCAAACAAGTCATAATGCTGCAAAAATATCATTTAGCTCGATGTCTCAAATTTAATATTCTTAATTATGGGTCATATTCTGCCTCCCCTTCGGATTTCAAAAAATCACTTTATTTTGCAAGTAATCCCCTAGATTTCAAAAAGATAATTATCAACCTAAGAGTTACAGGATGTGGTCCTATACCAATAAATGAGACGTACACCCTACTTCACCTTAACAGGATGCAAATTTGTAGTAGTAATAATCTTGTGAAGAGGCCCAGCTAACTTTGCTGGCAGTTTTGGTTCTTTATCTAGTCCCTGTGGTTTAGTGTAGTAGTCTAGCCTTTCCCGTGGAAAGAAGTTGTTGATAATAGTCACACAATCATGTTGACCTAAAGAAAAAAAAACATGAAGAGTGAAAATTTAATTTAGTTACACTCCCACCCAATCCCCACAGGAGCTGGTCCAACATAATTTTTAAGTTCTGACAGTAAACAAGTACATGCAAGATGCCATCCTGTAGGAGTGGAGAGAAGGAGCCCTCTAATTTCTTCTCCCCAGGTTCCTTTAAAAATATATTTATGACTAAACCACGAGGAGAGTCAGTATTCCTCTCAATAATTCCCACATATTTTCTTATACAAAAACATACAGGGGTCTTCCATACTGGTGTCAGCAGGTTTTTCAAGAGGAGATCCCTGGCAATTGCACCTCTTGCTGTTCATTTTAAGAGAGTAATCTATTCATAAAAGTAGGTCAGAGCATTGTCTATAAGATGCACAGGATGTAAGCAGGGAAGGAGGGATCTTTCCCCAGGCCTAACACACATTAATAGAATCACAGAATACTGGAACGGACCTCAAGAGATCAAAGTCCAGTCCTCTGACCTCATGGCAGGACCAAGCATCATCTAGATCAGGGGTTCCCAATTTGGGGTACGTGTACCCCCAGGGGATACAAGAAGCTTGTCAAGGAGGTATGGGGAATATTTGGTAAATAACTAGATTATCCTAATTGAAATATTCCAAAAGTAATAGTGTTAGTGAAAAAAGTTGTGGATTCTAGAGTCTAGAATTTATTTCCTTTCATATTGAATAGGGGGTACGGGAAGGTTTACTAAAAGCCAAGGGGGTACGGGGACCGAAAAAGGTTGGGAACCCCTGGTCTAGATCATCCCTGATAGATATCTATCCAACCTGCTCTTAAATTTATCTCCAGTGATGGAGATTCTACAACATCCCTTGTCAATTTATTTCAGTGTTCAACCGCCCTGATAGTTAGGAAGTTTTTCCTAATGTCCAACCTAAACCTCCCTTGCTGCAATTTAAGCAAATTGCTTCTTGGCCTCTGATGTTAGGACAAGAAGAACAATTTTTCTCCCTTCTCCTTGTGACATCCTTTTAGACACTTGAAAACTGCTATAATGTCCCTTCTCAGTCTTCTCCTTTCCAAACTAAACAAGCCCAATTCTTTCAGTCTTCCCTCATAGCTCATGTTCTCTAGACCTTTAATCATTCTTCTGGCTGTTCTCTGGACCTTCTCCAATTTCTCCACATCTTTCTTGAAATGTGATGCCCAGAACTGGACACAATACTCCAAATGAGGCCTAATCAGTGCAAAGTAGAGCTGAAGAAGAATGCATCAGAAAAGTTCATCAAGACTGGGAGAAAAGAGACGAGAAGGAGAAGAGGATAAGTCACTGATGGTTGAAACGTGTAAGCATCAATCTCAGGGATTTAGAGCACTGGTTAATTAATGAGAAAGAAAAAGGTAACCTGAAAAACTAGAGAATCTTAAATGCATCTTTGTTTAGACAGGCGAAAAGGTGTTATATTAATACATTATACTTGGATGATATATAAATATCTCAAAGCATTTTGCGAAGGTAGCACAAGGATCTTCATTTTACAGATGGAAAAACAGACACAGACTGGCTTTGTGCTTTGCCCAAAGACACCCACAGCAAATCAATAGCAGAAGTGGAAACAGAACTCAGGTCTACAGTATCCTGCTGTAATCATTAGATAAATAATACTTGCTAGGCAGTTCTCCTAACAACCCTGAGATGCAGACTGGTAAATGTTATTATTTCCTTTTTTTATAGATGGAAAAACTGAGCAGAGAGTAAAGTGAATCATCCATAACAAATCAGTGGCAGAGTCCACATCAGGACTTGGGATCTGATTCCAAGCCCCGTTCTGACTCCTCCAGACTGAGTAGTAGCTATTTGCACTAACACACATTGCCTTAAAACTTAAATACATACTTCTGTTTGTACACATTAAGCACTTCCCAGTCTGTCTGGAGGACCACAGATATTTTACATTGTTAAGAATGAAATCTGACTGACTGCTGGCTCACTATAAGAGAAGACATAGGATAAAATCTAATCTTTTGTTTTTAGCCAATTAATGCAAAAATTTCAAGTAATGTTCCCCCAAGAAAGAAACCTCTTAATCTGCCAAACCATCTAGTCTTATAGCCCAAGTAAAAATCAAGAGATAATTTCAATTTACCCACAAAAGCAGCCATCTGAGCGGCTGTCCTTCCCACAGAGTTGACGACATCAGTCTCTGCACCAGCTTCTAACATCATCCAGGTGATTTCTTTGCTGCCTGTATATAGGGATAAGACATACAGAATTGTGTTTTCTTTTGTAGATGCCCATAAATTGAAAAGACCAGTGGCTAATTTCAAGGTGAATTTTAAGACTTAAAAGGAACAACACTGACAACAAATCCTTGATATCCTTGGTTTAAACAGTGGATTGAACAGCCAGAAATATTTCTCTTATTTGTAAAGCCCAAGGAACAAAAATTCATGCTCTCAGGGTCAGATTCTGTCCTCAGTTATGCATTTTCAATTCCCACTGAATCCAGTGTGTATCGACTTATGCCCTCCCCAACAGGGAGCAATATAGATGCAAGATCTGCTATTCAAGTTTGACAGTACTGCAGCATCTTGTCTTTAAGGAAAGAACAAATTCAGTACTATTATGGAACAAAAGCACAGAGCAGAGAATAGGTTGTTCCTTTCTTCCCAGTGGGAACCAGGTGTTCAGTCTGGGATAAATAAGATGAAGTTATATTTAATGGCAAAATTATATCACTTAACTGATGCCCTTCAGGGAGACTAAAAAAGACACTTTGTGACCAGACTTGTTGGTTGTATTTTCCAGGTGTACTCTTCCTTGACTTTGTTTTTGTGGGAGTGCTGACTAGGGTGGTGTGACTACAAAGGAAAAAAATATAAATGTTTTTGCATTTGCTCTAATTTTAGAGTGACACTGCTTCAGCTGTGCTCACATTTTTTTCAAATGAAAGATTAAAGGTCTGAATACCAACATCCAGGAGTATTCAGATTGGAGACTGTGGGCCATTGATTTCACTCTACATTTAACTAAAATCATCATAACATCTCCACATATAGCTAAGATAAATACTTAATTTCTCTAGGTACTATGCTTTGGGAAAAATATGAGTGACCCAGAAAAGTTAAAACTTCCCTAATCTTTATCTTTTACTCCTCCCCACAACAGATTTAAAGCCCTTTTCCTGATTGCAAGAGAATTATTGATTACTTAAATTAGGGAACAGAAACAATTCCATCTGACCAGTCACAAATAACAAATGGCACTCAAAGCTCAAGAACGAGACACATACAGTGAACTGTTAGTGATCAATCTCCGGAAGAAGAAAATTGGGCGAGGGATCTGCCCCTTGCAAAATTTGGCTAAATACATTCAAGTAAACTCAAATCTTCTTAGGCCAATTCTTTGAACAGAAAGCCTAATTTTGATACACCTCGCAAGTATTAAAATGGCACTGCTTATTAAAAGTTAAAATGTTTGAGTCTTAAAAGTCCAAACATCTTTCAGTATGGAAGCATCTTTCATTGGAACTCAATGTAATTAAACAGAATTCACAATGCTGTGCAGGAAAATCTTTGCAAAACAGATGGAATTTTAAGGCTCCAAGAAGAAGTACAGCA